TTTTTTTTTTTTTTTTGAGAGAGCTTGACCACTTTTTTTATTCGAGGCGTTGCGATGGATGAAGGGTGTTGGGCCTGTTGGCACTTTACGCCAGGGGATTGCAAGAGTCGTACCTCAGTTGTTGCTTTGCTTTGGCACTGGATCGTGCCCGAGCTGGCTCAGCTGGGCCGGCTGCTCAGCCTGCTGGCTTTGGTCAAGTTAGGTGTAATGCTGAGGACGAGGGTTCGATAGGCTAAGCTTGATTGGCACTCAGTGCCACTCACGTTACGGAAGTCTATCCTGCCCTTGGGCAGACTGCCACATCTGCCCCAGTGCCCCGAGATACCACTCTTGAGAAGCTAGAATTCTAACCTTAGACAGTTTGTATGGGGCGTGCGTAGGCCTCCCAAAGGGTAATAACGGAGGCATGCAAAGGTTCCCTCAGGCTGGACGGAAATCAGCCGGAAATCAGCCAAAGCAGCCATTGAGTGTGAAGGCAGCGGCCCTGGACACACATAGAACGAGTGCTTGGCAGTCGGTGTTCTCTATGCCAGCGAGCGCATGGTCAATTGCTTGGGGGCCCTGAGGTGAGGGAAAGTTTTTTTTTTTTTTCTCTCTAGATGTGTATAAGAGACAGCTATTACGCTATTTCTTCTGGCCGAAGTTTTCTCGGAGGAGCGGTACAAAAAAAAAAAAAAAAAAAAAAAAGGAAGGAAGGAAGGGCACTTGTTGAAATTTGAACACTGCAGGAGGAGGGGCAAGTTTGTTGAAAGATGCCTGCCAAGATAAAGGTTCGCGTGCTGTTTTTCGCTCTAGTGAAGGAGTTGCTGGGCAAAGCTGCAACGACCATGGAGCTCGACGAGGGGACGGACACGGCGCGACTTCTTCAGCTGTTGACCACCAAGTTCCCTGCGCTCAAGTCCATTTCCGGGTCCGTGATGATTGCCGTCAATCGAGAGTATGTGTACTCTCCGGTGCGGATCAACAATGGAGATGAGATCGCATTCTTTCCTCCTATCAGCGGTGGCTAATCACAGCTGCGTTACACCCTCTCTCTCTCTCTCTCTCTCTCTCTCTCTCTCTCTCTCTCTCTCTCTCTCTCTCTCTCTCTCTCTCTCTCTCTCTGTGTGTGTGTGTGTGTGTGTGTGTGTATGTGTGTGTATGTGTGTGTGTGTGTGCGCGCGTGCGCGGATCAGCAATGGAGACGAGATTGCAGACTTTGCTCCTATGAGCGGTTGCTAATCAAAGCTGCGATACACACAAAGGTCTCTCTCTCTCTCTCTCTCTCTCTCTCTCTCTCTCTCTCTCTAGCTCGCTCGCTCTCTCTCGCTCGCTCTAACACAGCATCACACACACATGCATACGAAAACAACGACAAAAACACGCACTCAGACACGAAGACACCCACCCATACATGCTTATTAGACTCATTCCGCCCCCCTTTCCTTTCTCGTGTCCTCAATGGACTGTTGTCCCCCTGCCACTCAGTCTCCCTCTTCTCCCGTCTGTCTGTCCACTGACTGGATCGTATTCTCTATTCGGTTCTAGAAACTTCTAGCTGTATTTGGGGTATCTATCTTTCAGTCTATACACAGCTGTAAGGTCTGCACCCATGAGCCCATCGCAAGAATTCAGCACGCAACCTCCCACGAGGGAGTTGATGGGGGGGGCTGAAATTTGGTTTGGGGTCCCGGAATGTATGTAACGCATCCTGCCCTGATTCTGAATGTATACAAGCCATCTTTACGGTTGGATGCTTGAAGCTTGGGCGGTCATGGGTGAGGGGTGT